AGTTGGCGCGGTACGAATTTTCCGCGCAACTTCATCAGAGGAAATTAACCGATTTTTTCTTCTTATCTATACTCTGTCGTATTCGAGACTCGTGGTATGAAAAGAAAAAAGATTAAATTCTCGGATCAAGTTAAAGGAAATAGATACCAGAGAGTCGTTGATAAAAATAAAATTAATAAAGGAAGGAGAAAGAGACTGGCAAGGCAGCAGCCCTTGTGTACGATATTCATTTATGTCAGCAGCCACGCTCCTTCGAGTGCTCTTCCGATTTCCCCTCGTTTCATTAAACGACTGTCTCCGCGTCCTAAAAGTATATTGGCCTCGGTCAATTACACCAGAGGACCGTTCATTGTGACGCGTCGCGGACCAGCGAAATTACATCGATCTTTCGCGTTCGATGAACCCGAAGATAAATTTCCTCGCGAATCACTCTCCCTCTCGTGCAATACGTGTGTACAGGGTGTTTCAAAAAGGATGCAGGTTATTCTATGTCAAAGAATAAGTCGAAGACGAGAAACAGAGATTTTTCGTCTCAAGCTTGTTTTCGAAAAAAATCGAGTTTTCAAATTTGTCAAGTACACACGTGCATTTAGCTAGCAAATGCGCACGGTTGCAATTAGAGAGCCGGCAACGTCCAGTTGAAACTTGACTTTCCCGAAAACGAGGTCTTGAGCAAAAGGCTTTATCGTTCTTCCCCGATGTATACGTCATGGAACACCCTGTGTATTCGGATGGTTGTCCCTTTCTCCCTCTCTCTGTTCGTTGTTCTATTGTCCAGGGCCTTGAACGTATTATTTAGAGTCGAGTCAGCCATCGGAATCGCCCTAAATTACGCATTATCTCTTACGGGAGAGAAGAGGCTCCAGTGCTGACTCGTCTCGAAATACATACCATTGTCTCGCACGAGCGACGAGATTACGCGACATGCCGTTTGCTCCTAACTAACCTATACATATACATGATCGAGTCGCGTCGTGTCGTCAAAGGTTGATCGTAGACGGAGAATTGGATGTCAACCGTTCGACTTCCGTCGCTGATTGATGACGGTGTGCCGCGATACTAATTAACGGGAATCGGTTCCCGTTATTCTCTTAACGGTTAATGCATCGAATATGGATCGTTCCTGTGATATGTATAGCTTTGTTTCCGAAGATCGTATCTTACTTTGTAAATGGAATATCGTTGGATTCCGAAAGGAAATACATATACATGTATATTAAGTTTTTCGGTTTACTACGTCGCGAGAAATCTTTGGTCGTCTACGACGTTTGATCGCCACGTCACAAAGACGAACGATATATTAAAACGCTTGAAACCTTAAATATAAGCTCGCGTTCGGTGAAATATCTAATTGCGAAGTACGTATCCTTTCACGTGACTTATCGTTCTTCTTTGTGGCGAAACGATTTGCGACGCAAACACGAAACGAGTGTCGACGTAAGGGTTGTACCTGGTCGACGAACGACGAAAGAGAAGGAGGTTGCTGACAGATAGAGAGAAGGAAGCCGTAGGATAGCAACGTAAATGTTCTCCTTTGATGTAGTTCGTCTATCGGGCCGAACCAGCGTTCCTTTTTGCCCGCCACGTTCGCTGTGTTCGCCAAGAGAGTTTCTAACGTCTTTCCCATTCCTCTCCTATTCCAGAGCTTCTCGACCTCCAGTTAGAACGAAAGGAGCAACGTTCTCTATTATGTTCACCGATAAGACAAGGATCGCGATGCGTGTACATTCACTCGGTGCGGTAATCCTCGTTGCGGCCTGATAACCGAGCGTTCCGCGATTCCGGCCATTATTGTCGAGACCGATATCGATACAGATCGTAATTTGTTGTTGCTATGCGTCTTGAATGTGTCTCGAGATTTACTGCATTTCCATTATCCCCACGCCTAGATTTATTGTTAATCGATTAGTGGTAATCACGCGACACTGTGGCATGATTTTAGTTTCCCAGGATTGTTTGATTGCGCATGCCATGTCTAACGATAAGTATAAATACACACATATACATATTACAATACAAATATATATATTCGCTTATATATATATATATATAAGCTAACGAACAAATTGCGAAAGGAATACAATGAAAATGATATATTGGAACAAAGTAATGCTATAATAGAAATTTGTTATCAGGCAAGTGAAAAACGTGATTGGATAAATTTTTGTACTTAATGCCTTATTTTTGACGGCATATAGGTTTAGTCAGGCCTTAACCGGAAGATGTGAACTTTCGCTCAAAGGATTTGCAATGTGAAGTTTGAATTAAATTGTGGTTCGTTTGACAAAGGATTTATGTGTAGGGGTGGGTTGGTTCAAATTTTGATGAAGTTGAGAGAAGTGAAATGTGATTTATGCAATTACGTTTCTAGTGTTACTTCATAAACTTCTCTTTGCTATCTTTATTAAAAGCAATCCATATATATATTTTCAGAGTAAATTCGTCGTCAAGAAACAACCACAAATCTATTGAATAGAAGTGCTGTGAAAGAAAGAATAAGCGAATCTAATTTATATTACATCAACGCGGATGATTTTTATTAATTTTACTGATTTAAGGAATTCAATTAAATTTTAAAAGAGAACTCAAAGAGATTAATTTAAAGTGGTATTATTCCCTCGTATATGAAAATAAAGCGATATTTTAATTTAAATATTTAACATATTAAGGAAATTAATTGCGATCTTCTACATGGTTTATATATCTAGCAATAAGTATCTAATTTATTTCAAATTGTCTTTATTCAAATAATAATTTCTGAATTACCTACAAGGAAATGTTTCATTGAACATGACACTCTTCGTTCAAATGATCAATGCCATGAAACATACACAGTCGACCAACAGTACAATATCTGTTTCAATAGTTTACATTCTATGTAAATAGTAACATTCTATAAGTTACGTGCGTTCCAGATCATTAATTCCCTACAAATTACTCGTAAGTTAAATTACTGCTAAATTGTTATTATCGACGAAACAATTACAACTACTAGTAACAATAGTTATCGAGTATGAAACAAATGACGGAAATTTTCAGGGCATACAATAGAAACTTTTCATTTGAAATCACAATTTTTATCGTGCAATTACGTTGAAAATATTTCATATTTCAAGTTTTGAATATCAGCTATACCGTTGAAAGCTAAATTATTCCCCATGGATAAATTTTGAATATTTCAATAAATTGTTTCGTAATTGGTGCGCGTGTAATGAGTTCCTGTTTCGACGTGAACGCGAAAGCGAACTGCAAAGTATTTATTAGAAAATATATTAATTATCCTAATACAAGTTCGAGGAGAAGGAATTTAATATATATGAAACAATGAATTTAATTTACTTTGGTACTTAAATGATGTCTATAGATACGGGTAACGAATTTTCATAAAATCAAATCATCATATACATGTTAATAAATTTTATTCGATAATTTTGTCTAACGTTGGACTAAAGCGTAAAATAATATGTAGTAATATGCAATTACTTCTCCTAATTTATTTGGAATTTTAGATTAATTTACGTTACTACCTTCAATTGAATTTTAATGATGATTAGTTGAAATTTATTTCCCCTTAAAAGTATTTCTTCTTTCCCGTCTGTTACTTCGACTCCTCGTCTATAAAATTTTTATAATTCTGTTACACAATATTTTGTATTATACTCGTATTAGACCGATTTTGGAACAAGTCAGGAAAACGCGAATAATCGTTTTATTACGTTCTTGATGTACTTTCCATATTTTCCGACAATGAAGCGGGCTAAAATTAGTTTGAAGTATGGAAATATGTCCAGTAACTTTGTTCTCCGTGTTTTTCTGTGCTAATGCCTATGATCGTTACATGCATAATTCTTGTCCTTCCAGAGCAATTATTATCCCTTGGAACGGATTTTCCGTGTTTTAACAAGTTATATCTTAGTTATTCATTGCTTTCGAAACAAAAGTTTCGAATTTTCATTACGTTTTGCACGTAGAACTGTTGAGGTATCTTTTTTATATGGATACAGTATATGCATTATGTATATGTATTGCAATTTATATACTACGATGCTTCTCGAGACATGTAAAAACAACGTATAAAAAAGACTATATCAAATACCTGCACACAGCTTTTTACCGCATATTTTATTCAAAAAATAATTGGATATCATTAGTCACACATGGTGCGCATGTAAAGTGTCTCATTTTTAATTTGGAGATATAATCAGTAGATAAATGTAGATAAATAAACGCCCTGCTATTAAAAGCACCAAATATATCCGAACAGAATACCAACTTATTAGCAAAATCTTTTTCAAAACAAGCCAACTCAAACTAATCGCGAAACAACCACATCAATAAGTATCACATGACTAACTGCCGTCTAAGCGATTCTACTAAATCCTCCGTTCTATGCACGACTGACTGTGACTCACACCTTGTTTAGTTAACCTACTCCAGTTTCTGATTAGCTAACCTACTTCCCATCACTCTGATTTCAAAAGAGAATAAGCGAAACCTATCTGGATATGGGGAAGTCTCTCAAGGGAGCTGCGTAGCATTATAACGGCTGCTCTTTCCATCTGGACATCTCTTTCCATCCTTCATGGTGCGCTCTATAGATCAAGATGAGAGGAATCGACCAGCTGGAAAATCGCTTTAAACCTCCCCGACTAATATTAACTTTCTCCCTTCGTTCCGCGAAATTCCCCAACTCTTTTTTCCGTACTCTCGCATACCGGATCAGGCCAGGCAAAGACGAATCCCTGGGCTAGGCCGCCGCTTGCCTTCTCCAATCATAGAATCTGCGGTTAATTGTTGATGAATTTCTATTTCGCTCGAAATTTCGCTTCCTTTATCGTTATAATAGATATCTCCTTCGGGTCTTTGATTCTGGTATATAGAATGTATGTTATTCGACTACACTCTTATCGATCAACTAAATAGTCCCGTGTCACAACACCTCACGGCCAGCTAAACCACCAAAAACACAAAATTACTTCGGCGTTGAGGCCATTACGGAGGATGATGCCGGATAATGGACACAAGTATGAAACAAAATTACCAATGCGGTACTGTCCCAACTTTGTCTCATTAATTATTATGCACTTAACGTCGCAACACACTGCACCAGCCACCATGACCAAGAACTTTTCCCTTTGGCCACGAGCGACGATGACTTTTAAAGTTCGCAGATTTATGGCCACGGCCCGGTAACGGGGCAAGAATGGCTGACCGAGACGGAAATGCTCGAGGAACGAGCCTCTGGGAAGAGTGCGACACGACGGTGTCAAAGCGGCATGCCAGTTCGCTATTTCAACGACCAACTTTATGCAAGCGCGGTTTTACGGTATGGCAAAGTGTCGCGTTTTAGCCGCTAGCAAAACCTTAATGCCTTCTTCCGGTTTGTACAAGTTGTGGAAGGGGCGTCAGTGGAACTGGTGTGTCGAATCACTGTTCGAACAAGGGTAACAATTGCATAGAGGGAGAGTTTTGGCTTGTTACCCAATAAAGTTCTTCGTAAGAGAAATTATCGTGTGGTGAAAGTGAATTGTTACTCTTCGTGGATAATGCGATTAAAGGGACAATAGGGATATTTAATGGTAATACTCGATGAAACAGTAAACACAATGAACGTATGTCTGTCGAGAGATAAATCCTCTGCGTTTGAAAAGGTTCTCCTTTCATTCTGCCAGATCCTCTGTATTCTTTTTGTTACTCCATTCACGAAATTCATACTTTGACCATAGACTTTAACCATTTGTAACATTCGTCATTAAATTCTGCACATTTATTTCTTAAACTCCATCATTATATGCGTATGCTTCTCTTGAAATTGGTCGTAGGAGACTCTCGCACGTACTTACTCAAATGCTGGAAAAATACTAGAGACGCATTTTCACGTGGTACGATGGGTGAAACTCGACTGTGGAGCGATTGGAATGATACGCCAGGCAGAAAATTATGAGAAACATGTGCAGACGGGTCCGCACGGCAAGATAATCCATTTGGATGTGATTCGGGGTTCCTAGAGCGGCGTCCCACGAGGACGATTTCAAACGCGTGTAATTCGAACGACGTTACCGCATACTGGCGAAAATGATGCGCAAGTTTTAAAAGCGTTCGCGTACCACCAGGCAAACGTGTTCACCGGCAGGCTAATTAAACATAGCGCAGCTTTTTGCCGAGATGCACACCGAAACGCGATGAATTTAGCTACGTTTTCCTCCCTAGAATCTGATCAACCTGCGTGAAATTTGATGTTAACCGCCCGACGAAGGTCAAAGACTCGATGCGTAGTTTTTATAATTCAGTGAAACGAGTTTGAAACTAGCGGTAAATGTATGTGAAATATTAGTACATTTTAAGAAAGCATACTTGAAAAATTTGACCACATTGTTGCATATATTCTGACAAACTTTTTTGATGTACTCGTTATTAATGTCGTTACGCAAATAAAATAATGGAAAAATTTAATTATATGTAATTACTTCATCAACTGGTAACTTAGAAACTGTAAAAAGGAACTGGATTCATGGCACGTTCGTCTTTTCGTCTTTTCTCCATAATTCGATACACTCCCCAACAAAAACGTACTTGTTTACAAATGTTAAAACGTTCAAATGGTAATTTTACCGAATACGTTTTACTCTATTATACATAGCAGAGATAATTCAAAACTGTCGATGTTATTTTCAAACGATTGAACTCGTTCAGAGTTTGTCGTGAAATAGGAGTGTAGGCGAGATATCAACGAGATATATTATTTTTCCTGCATTTTAAAATTTCATAAGTACTGCTACACTCGAACCGATCGCTTAAGCGTTTTTTATCGTTCTCGTAATGAGATCAGTATATGGACGCACAAACCTCTTAAAATGAATATCGTATAGACCGATTTCGAGTGCACTTCATCAGATGAAAATGTTTGTTAATCCAGCGACTTCATAAGTATCATGCTTTCGAGAGGATGCTTTAGTCGAATATATTATTGATAATATCGTTAAATGGAAGAAACGTGAAACGCGTAATTATGGTCTCAGGAAATTATATTTCTCAATCGTATTTCGTGTATCTTTTCATCTATATACATACGTATAATTAAAGCATAATGAATAATCGTCGAAGAGTTATTACACGCGTATTAAAATTCCTACCTTTTGTTTAAGTTTCGATTCTGTTTCTATGAAAATAAAAATTTAACATTACACAAGAAAAGATTGTTTTAATTCTATTGTTTCGTTTTTGTATTCTAAATTCGATCGTACATATCGATAATTCCATTTATCGTTACAATTACGATTGACTGGATGTTGAACTTGCCATAAGAACGATGATTTTTCATAAAAATTTGTTTTTCTGTTGCAGCATAATGAACAACAATGGCGTAGAGCAACCAGACCCCGACAACATAAAAATGTTCGTAGGTCAGGTACCTCACGACATGGACGAGAACGATCTGAGGAAGTTGTTCGAGGAGTTCGGTCGGGTGCACCAGATAAATATCTTGCGGGACAAGATCACCGGAAGTCATAGAGGTAAGTATTCGATCGATAACGACCGTCTTTTATGTATTCTTGAATCATCTATCCTCGCAGTGATTGTTAAGAAACTATCTTAGGATAATCGACGTATCTGCCTTATATCTGCTGCTAAACCACTTTTCAGTAATTTCTACCCATATCTAAAATTCATACTTACATCTTTATTAAATTGGACTCCTTAACGATAACGTTGTACTTTTGTAGACTGTATTTTTTTTTTATTTGTTATATGATATTGTATTATCTGATGTATAATATTATATCGTACCTGTCGTCTGTATTCGATTCGTCAAGCTTTCGATATACGCGTTATAAGAGAAGGCAGAACCGAGATATCTCACAATCCGCATGCAGTATGCTAAAAAAGAGTAACAATGTACAATTGAGATTCGATTGAGTCGCGATCACGTTGGCCGGAAGCCGCGTTAATTTAATTATTCGATTTTTTCCCCCAACCGGTAATCCAGTGTATCGCAATATTCGATAACGAACCGAATTTTCATTAGTCTGCCGCGTACTTTAATCTTGTGCTGCGGCTCTATTAACTACACCGCTCCCGATAATCGGATGAAATTGAATTGTCTCGCGGCTTTTATTTTTAATCGTGCCACCGGTCGGCGTTCTTCACGGAAAAATTCACTGGTGAACACTTAATCGCGTTGTCACGGTTTTTTACCATGTTTTCGTCAACGTATCCCGTGATCATCGAACGACGCAATTTAAAAATTTAACCACACTGCCAACTTTGGTTATAAAATATTTGTCGATACGTTTGGTCGAAATATACGAGGCTGTAACTGCGGCTGACAACAATAAAGAATTGCAAAATATCAAATATACCGATCAAAAATAGTTCGCTATCGTATACGAACATATATCCTGATGCAGAGTCAGGTTTCTTTTTTCAACTACACAATTACTTTTATACTTTTGCCGTTTCTTTTAACTTTCTTCGCGCTTCCTGTTTTTAATCTCTTTTCCAAGATTTCACTGAGAACCGAATAACCTTGGTTCACCCGGTCTTCGCGAACCACTTCACTTTCACATTTTATTACTTTTTTCGCATTTCCCAAGTTTATCCAGGCATTTGACTCTTTTCTCCGTACACTCTATCCTACCACCTTCCTTCTTCGTTTTTTTCATTTTTCACGTGTTAGTAATCAAATCTGTGTCAGATAATTCCCCGATTTTGTTATATTCGTCGTTACTAAACACACTACTTGTTATACTTACCTAATTAGTTATCCATGTCAATATCACACGGTAAGCGCTCGATAGAAACTAAAGCAACGATATTCTTGCTAGTGTGAGAAAGATGCGATGGCAAACGGGGTGGAGATGTCGCGACTGCATCGACGTGCGATCGACGAAGTTGGCAATGAAACAGCACGTTCATCCGTATGACAAGTGCGAATGGATGCAAAAAGGGGTGGGCGAATGGATAGAACGGACGGCATTTACGATGGCAGAATGAACGATAAAACGTAGCGACGCGATCGTAGACCGAGATTAAACCGAGCTCTAGCCGCGTCACGTGGGTATAATTCGAGTATAAAATAATCTTCACGCTGGCGAAACGCAAGAAGATTGAATGATTTCAGGAACATAGTGGCCGAATGATAAATCGTTACGCTCTTGTTTCGTTTGCACACGTTTCTATTCACCTTCTTCTTCCTCGTGTCTCTCTTGTGGTTGGTTGGAAATCGTGCAATTATATAAAAATTTTGTTATGTTCTGATTGGTCCAATCGTATGGTTGAATTTCATGAATGTACGATTCTTGGAATTTTTTAATATAAAGAACTGTCTAATGCCTCTTTAGATCCGGCATGCTGTTAGGTTATACAAAAGTCTGGGGTAATTTAATTCAGTAAGTCGCTGATTTGGCTTGATCGAGATCGATAACAATCTGGCCCACAATGTAGTCACGAAAGGGTTAAAACAAGATATTAGCACGGTCAAGTTTACGATTCGATCAGGTATATTATCGGTATATTTATCGTGATCAGCACGTCAGTCGTTTGAACGTGGACGAAGATCGGCAGTCAGGTCGTTGATAACGAATACAGGAAACGAGGGAACTAACTCGGGAGGGGGCGGGATAGTCTGAGGGAATAGACAGAAAGTAAGTACTCGTATACGTGGCACACGCAAGGATCGATGCCCAGACAGAAACGGTAGTCGTCGTTGGCACTTCTCGAACTATTGATCGAAGACGGAACCCCCTGGTGTCCCTTGGCCTCTTACGCCGTTACGTCGAAACGTATCTCTATGTGGCTATATACCTGTGTGTCCATGTGCAGGTGTCCAGCAGTCGTGGATCGCGCGTCCGTAGAATTCGAAATTTGCCTTTCATAACCGCGAATATCCGATCCACTTCTCTCCGTATTTACCTTGGTTCTCCGTCCACTTTGAACTCGACCCACCGTTAAGTTGGAAGACGTTCTATTCCAAATATACTTGCATTTTCTTACGTAACATTTGTCAAAAATA